ATAAATGGTTGACCAATGACAAAATGAGATATTCTATTTTTCTGAGTCGTCGTCTCTGAAATTGTGATAAATTTTCAGGTGTGAAACCGCGTGTTAAAAGGTCTCTTTCAAAGACCGGTTCACGTTAACCAAACCGTTATCCAAGAGAACCAGATGGAATAGAACCGTCGGTTATACATTGACAGATACAGTATCATCATTGTCTTTAAAGACGAACAAAAACAAAACCATTCTCATTTCTTGGCAAAAGAGATGACCATTGGATTCTGGGGAGTCATTTTGAAACCTTGAAGAGCTTGCATAGCAATGGAAGATTGAACATCGTCTTCGAATTCCACAAACGCAATCCCTGGTTTTGCCGAGATCATTCTTATCTCTTTGAAACCCGGGTACTGTTCAAAGAGACTCTGAAGCATCGCGCTTGTTGTCCCAAGTGGAAGATTCTGAATGAAGAGTATGTTATTTGGTGGCATCGTTTCTTGCCCACCCGGTTGGAACGAAGGCTGTTTTCAAAACGAAAAGATATCAACAATGGAGAAGCTCCAGAAGATAGATATGGTTCTGAACAAGGTGAGAACAAGAACACTTACCGCAGGAGGGACTCCATTTTGGGAAGTTGGACCATTAGCCATGTTAGGTCGTTTAGTTTCTTCACGCTTTCTTTCAACTGAAAATAAAAAAAAAAGAGTAGTTTGTAAACTTCAGATGCAAGTGAAAATTTTCAAGTTTATTATCATTGAATCACACAAAAGAAAAACAAAGTTTTAGACCTTTTTCTTCTTGCCCCCTCTTCTTTTCTTTTGAAACAAAAGTTCCTTCGGCTTTAGTAACACAATCCGACTTTGATTTTGCATATTGTACGCGCTGCGCCCAAAAAAACACACATTAAAATGGTTAAACATAATCATCACCCGGGCTGGAAGCAGTTGCATAGTTACATACACCCGGAAGAGGTAATTATACAATCATGTATATAACAAACAGTCAAACACTATAACGGTTTACAAACATCAATACGCATATCTAACTTACAGTTGATTGGGAATTATCAATGGGGAAAGATTTCACTATCAATTATTAGTAATCACTTGCATATTCACAAAGAAACGCAATAGATTCATTCTTTAGCAGTCCAATTGATCTAAATAACACACACAAGATCAATCGCAAGAGATGGATATACTCGAGAGGGTGATTGAAACTGACCATTGGCTTATCATAGAAGGGGAAATTCTGCATCTGACGGACCGCATTACTAGCAGCTGTGACTTCACTAAACGCAACCCAAGCTTGTCCACGGAGCTTAGGAGTCTTCAAAGCAACCACATCAAGAATCCTCCCAAACTGAGAGAACAAACAGTAAAGAGATCTCTTCAATTCTGGAAAACAAAAACCAGGTTAGACGAAACATTCAAGCATCTCATGAGATAGATCCTGCCCTGACCCAACACACTAACAATTACCCAGAGAATTCGTAACTTCAATTTTCGAAAGAAGCCAATCATCAACATATAAATATAACTTCCTCAGAACCTCGTCACTCGATTGAACACGATTCTGAAACCCTAAAACTTAGAAACGAACACTCTAAAACAGCTAAAACCAAACAAAAATCGAAGATTCAGAACTGAAGCAGCTTGAATTAAGCTGGAAGAAGAAAACTGAGAGGAAATCGATTGGTTCACAACGGATTTTTGAACAACATGTACGAGGTTTGAAATCAGAATGAGAAAAACGAAATTACCTTCTTTCTTGATCTTTTCATTGAGGTTTTGGATGTAGATTGACTGATTCGGTGGAATATCTGCGGTTAGCATCTTCGACTCAGCTCCGGGAAGACGATGACGATAGGAGCCTGAGAGAAATTTAGCGACCGAGCCCTAATGTGAATATGAATGAGAGAGAGAGGCCAAGTTAAAAAAGAAAATTCGATGCGTTTCACTGCAAACGACGCCGTTTCATGTTTTTCCC